CAATCCTCCTTCGGTTTCCGGTGAGACCACATCACGAATTCCTTCCAACCAAATTTCCCTTCGAAATGGAGAGCCATGCCACAGTACCTATAACTAATCGTCTGTCTTTCAACAAACTAGACATATGGCTGAAGTGCTTTTGATAATCAGTTGCGACCAAACGTTCGCAAACCTTTAGATGTTTGAACGGTATTTTACTAGGCATTCTAAATGAAGTATAGCATATCCAACGCTGACTAATAGAAATTTTCTTATTTAGATGTAATAATGATAGTTCTTTCCAAACGGGAGGCGATAAGCTACAGCCTTGTATTCTTTGGAAAACTCACTCACCTATATGGTAAGAGACAATTGATGAGTAGGAATAATGAGATTGTTGAATGGAATCTAGCGGAATTTTAAAGGGAGGATGAATATAGCTTACTTTGGGTTAGAGAAAGGAAGATAGATAGATGAGAGGTATACTGATTTCCCAAAAATCATTGTCATACAGTAGGAAAATCCTTTTTTAATCAAGTTCATTTATGTAATATAACTCGACAGTGAAAATGTCGTAGTTAAGGCGGTAGCATGTTTGCCTCTGAAGCCTTATGCATATTTTTAGGTTCTTATTAAGGATATAAATGAGACAAAGAATGAGGCAAAATTGCGACCTATTTGTTAATAACTTTCATTTGGCGATATTAACTTAAATCCATTGCATCCATTTGGAGTATGATAGCCGTAATTAAGTGTAACAAATTGCAACGAGTTTCCTGAGCGCAGTTCAATGAGTGACGGTTTTATGTGATTCTTCAAGTTCTTTTTTAAAATACTAGTCTAATAATTCTATCATAGGATCGATGAGGAATATTGTATGTTCAATTTTATCAGCTCACCTGCTCCCGTGTAGACTCTTTATTCCAAACTGATTGATGGTTTCTCTGGCGAACAAGGGCAGATACTCGTGCCTTGCCTACTGATAGAATAGCGGGTACCACGGCGTCACAAGAAGATGACAAAGATGATGGGGCGCTAATATTCTCCGCGTGGTTGATCTTGTCATCATTTTCCAGAGCAGTAAAGATCTTGTGGCCAGGACAACCTGGGGTCACTATAGAAGTGATATTTCTCTTTATCTGACCTTTCCCTCTCATTTCCATAAATTTTTTCCCTCTGTTTCTCTTGTCCTTATCTTCATTCATGTCGATTACTTTTAAGATATCATCTGCTGTTATTTTAGTTTTTTTTTCCCGCTCTGCAGTCGCATCGATTTCCGTGGCTAATTGGAATGTCGGATCATGGTCAACTCTAATGTGATCATGTGTTGGTAACGCGTTGTCTGTTAGTGAAGGTGGAAAACTGGTGGGTACATCAAAGTGCTGGCTAACTCGGCTTATAGAGGAGCTAGTCTCGCAGCAAACGGAAGGAAAATTCGCAAGTCGTAAGTGGACCGCAGCTAGCTCCTCTGGAATAGGACCGGCTGAGCAGACGGAGGGTGACAGAGGAATGCCTATATCCCGATTATTATCTATGGCATAATTAAAAATGAAATGAGTATAATTACGAAAATGTGCAGCTAGCAAAATGACTAAAGCATGATGGAACAAGGTTTGCTAGGAGCCAAAACATTTCTCCAACATCCAAAGATTTAATAGAATCTAACTATAAGGCAGATTTATCTAAGTTAAGACAAGTTATTTCACTGAGTCAATCTTATAAAATGTTAATAAGCTAGAATGTGGAGGTCAGAATGCGATTGGACCAATTAAACAGTGGAAATGAAAATATCAAAACTTGTCAGTGGAATGAGGGAATGAAGGACCACCGATGCGTCTGAGCAACCGAAACAAGATATCAGATAGTATAGGAGCTCAGCTTTGCTTTAGAGTGGATTGCTCATTTTCTAGTTTGGCAGGTTAGTGTGGCTATCGGCATCAAATATTGGATTAATCGTAAGAAAGGCGAAGGAGCAAAGGGAGAAATAAAAGCAGATGGACTGTGTACTTAATCACTAAAGTGTAAGGATGCTATCTTGGAGAAAAAAGGGAGAATCTTCATTGGGTTAAGCTGGAGAATCGGTAGTCGAGAGAGAGATAATGGAAGAAGACTAATAACTGTAACGGTATCAGCCTTTTG